GGGGGGGGGGGGGCAGTAGAATTCAAAATTTTGGTTATTGTTTCTGTTTCATTTTGCTTTTATTTTTAATTTGGGTTTTTTTTATTTTTTCCAGTTCTCATGCTGTCTTTATTATCTTTGTTGTTTGTGCTGCCTGGAATGCATAATACTGCCATCAAATATCTGGCTCTCAGCTATATTTTTATGGTTAAAAACAACACACCAAAATCCTAAGTGAAAAACTCTATTTGTTAACGTGTGGGCTACGTTGTAGGGTGCTGGGGAGGTAATGAGCTCTTTCACTGAATTACCCCAAAAATATTAGTTTATATAGATCTATTCTCCTATGCTTTCCAATTTTTCTGAAATAAAATCCAACTAACTCTAATCTACATTTATATATCTAGTTGCCAGCACTGGGAGATCAGAGTGTGGGAAGAAGACGGAAATTTCACCATTTAGAATGCACAGTTTAACATGTTCTCCCTGTATTCGGTTGAGTGTGTAATGCCTGCCTCCCACTGGGCCTCATGGCTGATGGCCAGAACCATTTCTGTTCAATTTCTCCAAAAAATAAAACTTCCATCATGAATGATTACCTAATTTCATTAGAGAAGGAATTTGGGGCTATGGCTGCTTTAGATTTTTAATCAATCCCCAGGCATAAGAGAACTTAGATGGTTTTTCTCCTCATTTATGTATTTATTAATTGCATTAAAATGTATTAAGTACCAAATAATAAAGCATTTCTGTGTATTATGTAAATTTGCTACGTGACAATGGTATAATTTGTCATACACACGCACAGGAACTTAAAAAAAACCTTAGAAATCTTGAGTTTCTAAGAAGTTTTAAAGGCTATTTATCTCACCAACTTATAAACCACTCTTCAAAATTCATAAGAATTCTCTCTAATTCAAAAACACAATCTAATTTATTCTCACAACATTTGTGTTAGATGTAGAGAGGAACCAGTGTTTATAATGTCTTTTTTTTTTTTTTCATTTAAGTATTTAAAAACTGCTATGGTTATTTGCCCCACATCCCAAATCAGTAGCAAAAACTGAACTGCAAGTGAGATCGCCAAAGTCGCTTTTCATTCATTATTTCTCCCTTTTCGCTTTCACCGGGATGTGTTTGCTTGCCTCTTCCTTTATGCTTCTGATTGTTGTTTGTCCCGTTCCCACATCAGTAAAACACTGTCTCATCAGCCAATTCTTTCTTGAAGTTCTTTGCATTTCACAGGATAAAAGTCATCAGATCTTTTCTCTTTTTTTCTAGCTCATGCAAATAGATTAAATAGAATTGCTACCATTTCCCAGAAAGCCACCCATTCAATTAGAACATTAAATTGCCCCAATTCTTGATAGAGCACAGAAGTGGTAGCAGAATGTTGGCACATCCAGGGTGTGTCAATGTAGCCAAAATAGAAGGATGTGGAGCAGGGGGAGGAAGAAGATTGCAGGATGCAGAATCCCAACTCAGTATTTCAGAAACTCAAGAAAATACTGCTGAAGAGACTAGGCAAACAAACCAGGGAGACACAGGGAAATCATGTTAGCTTTTGTGAGATAATTGAAAATATATATTAGTGTCTACCCCTGGCACAGAGCTCCTGAAACCCTTGTAATTTCCTGAGTAACATGTGTCTTTTGTTCTAACGAGGCAACTCTGTGTGGACTCCTGGATGGGGCTGGTCTCCGGGAAGACCAAGACATGATTAGAAGCTTGGAATTTTCAGCCCCACCCTCCATTCTCTTGAGAAGGGAGAAGGGCTGAAAATGGAGTTAATGATTAATTATGTCTGTGTGAAGAAGCCACTATAAAATCCCAAAAGGAAGGGGTTCTGAGAGCACCCAGGTTGGCAAACATATCCACATTGGGAAGGTGACACACCCAACTCTATGAGGACAGAAAACTCCTGCGCTTGGGACCCTCCCAGACCTCACCCCATATATCTCTTCATCTGACTGTTCATCTGTATCCTTTATCACATTCTTTAATAAACATATAAATATAAGTAGGTGTTACCCTGAGTTGTATGAAGAGGGGAGCCCACACAGAATGGGACAAAGTTCTAGGATATCTGCATACAGCCAAGCATTCTGACTTTTCACACAGCATAACACATCAGAGAGGAGCTGTTTCCACCATCACCATTTCCTGCCCCCAGGAATGTAACATTAGTGCATAAGTAAACTATGGATTCTATTCCAGAGATATGTTTCTGTTTTCTTAATTCAATTTCTGTTATACCATACCTAATTTTTGTTAACAACCCCCCAAAATAACTCATTTTTAGTGTAAAGTTTTTGAAGTCTGCTGCTTTCATACATTGTATTCTCCCTTCCTTTTTCTCCCTATAATATTGAAAAGGAACGGGTTCATTAAGTTTCAAGAATATAGAGGAATTAACAGATTTACAGTGCTTCTTGGTGTCAGCATTCTTGATTTAAAACAAATCAAGGAAACAAAATGAGCACTTTGCATAGTGTAGATAGATTGGTAGTAAAACTATATTCATAAATCATGCAAAGTGATGACTGCCTACCAGGCAAAATTTTTTAGCATCAAAGAACAATTTCCCATTTTCCCCTCACATAATTAATAGAACCAAGATCCTTCTTCAGGATCCATGTTTCTGATTTGGAGTAGAATATAATTTCCCTTTCAATTTTCGATTGCTACGGAGTTGTCCTTGGCATTTTGCAGTGCAACAAAGCTGTATATGACCTTTTTGAGAGCTACTCAGCTACCAGGACCCTAAAATGTCAAGTACAACTCAGTTGCTCTCAGAAATTTTCCACTTGCAATTCACTTATACTTGAAATGGATCACATACAATATAGCTGAAATGCAAACATAAAAAAAGACCTTGTAGAATCTCTTCGGAAAATTAATCCACATCATTGTAAGTATGGCAGAGTGGAATGGTCTCTGTGCTCATTAGTGAAGAGAGATGGTCAAGTAGATTAAAGTAGGCTTTAGATCAAGTGCCTTTGGCCCTACTCTTTGACTGGGTGACCTTGTCCAAACCATTTAG